CATTAAGTTATAAATAAACTCGGCAACTGCAGAAAGGCCAGTCCAACCTCACAAGCAAACTCTGCAAACTGATCATTCAAGGCCACATCAGAGGGGCATGGAATCAGAGGGATTTCACTTGTTAAATGCCAAATTAAGAATTATTTTCTACCAAAAGAAGTGAGCATTTGTACAAAGGGAATGCAGTAGACAGTGCATAACAATTTTCAGAAGATTTTGTAAAAACAGGCTCATAGGCAACTTGCTGAGAGAGAGTCAGGTATACCTTGTGTTCGGAGCTGGACCACCATGGCCACAAAACGAGGTGACCTAACAGATTTGGGGTAATGTGTGGTTGCTCGGATCAGGGGAGAGTTCAAAGAGGTGCAATCCAGCAGTCAGTGTTGGTGCATGTCGGGAGCTGTTTCACTTCACAGGATAGCAGCCTCACGAGTATTCATTGCCACCACCTTCTTCACTAACTTAGGGACGGGCAAAGTGGCAAGCAGACTGCTTTTCCTGGATGGTGTCCAGCTTGTGTGTTTGAGCTCCACAAAGCAAGTAGAAAGAATTCCATTTGTTATCTCTCACTGGGATGGCGTGCTGAAAATCACACCCTCGTAGGCCTGGAGTTATCACCAATGTTAAAGCTGTTCTGAAAAATCGCCCAGTTTAGCTTTCTTTTTGAACCTGAATCAAAAGCATAGGCAAGGTTTTTGTACTTAACAGGAATTACTACTTATTACATTAATTAGACTTTAACCACAGGTAAACAATTATGAACCATCAGCATATAATTTAATTAAATTTAAAGTTTCACTTCATTGCAGAGAACAGTAAGAGTGCCTGAGCTGGAGAACCCAATCCCCATCTTGGTCACAGCCCAAACTATTCAGCTACCCAAGAACAAAATCGCATAATTGTTGTTAGGCAGAAGGACTTGGTCATCAATAACTAGTCCCTGGGCCAGAGACTAACCAGCTTGTTGCCACCAAAGCTGAATTTATACACAAGGTTATGGGTCAATGCTGGAAAATAGTATTACAACAGGTGGATGTTTCATGACTGGTACAGACATGGGCCAAAAGGCCTCTCTTGGTAATGTAAAATCCCTTACTCTGGCAACCTTTCAGCTTCAGTTGTTCTACAAACGCTTCAATTGTTGCTTGAACAAGCAGCTTTGTAAACAATGGTTACAATAAGTGACTTGCTTTTGAAACCTACAGCAATCCTTGGTCAGTCAGGAGGCAGATTATTTGCTGCAGGATTCCTTGCCTCTGGCCTGCTCTAAAGAACATAGTATTAAATATGGACAGAGTAGGAACTGCCGAAATGGATTTCGGAAGGGTCTCGACCCAAAACGTCAGCTTTCCTGCTCCTCTGATGCCGCTTGGCCTGCTGTGTCCATCCAGCTCTACATAGTGTTATCACAGTATTAATATGGTTGGTCCAGTTTGGTTTCTATTCAATGGTAACCCCCAAGATGTCGATAGTGGAGGATCTAAAGATGCTATTGAATGTCAAGGAGCTATCGTTGGATGCTCCCATTGAAGATGGATAATACTTGGCACTTTTGATTGAACAGGTCTTGCTACACATAGACACGGACTGCATTAGAATCTGAGAAGTTGTGAATGGTGTTGAACATCACGCAAATCACCAAACTTCCCAACCTCTGGTTTTATACCGAAAATAAGGTAATGAATGAAGTAGCTGAAGATGGTTGGGTCTCAGACACTAACCAGAGGAACTTGTATGATGATGTACTATGGCTGAGATGGTTGACTAATAACTACCATCATCTTCCTTTATGTTAGGTATGACTCCAGCCAAGGAAGAGTTTTTTTTTCTCCAGATTGGTATTGATTTCAATATTGCTGAAGTTCCTTGATACCGCACAGGGTCACTTTGACCGCACCTCGAATTCTGCTCTCGTTGATATTTAGACCAAAATCTGAGGAGTGGCCCTGGTGGAACCCAAACTGATTGTCAGTGGAGGATGTTGCCGAGTAATTTCCACATGCCAACAGTCAACATCTTTTACCACATTGATGTTTGAGAATAGGCTGACAGGGCAGCATTTGGATGGGTTAAATTTGTTTAGTTTTTTTTGGGAACAGGACTTACCTGGGCAATTTTCCACATTGCTGTTATTAATACAGCAATTTACATTTCCCTGAAAGGCATTTACTTTAAGTGCACACATTACCGTTACAAAATTCCTTATTAAGGCAGTGATTGCATGATGTTTAATACCTTCTCACTGAGGAAACATACCAACATAATAGAAAATAAAAATGATTGAAAACCCAAAGATGAATGTTCTAGCATGAAACAAAGCCAATTCTACTTCTCAAGAGAGGGAGGTGCTGTCCATGTACAGAAAAATTAGCAACACTTCAAACTTTCAACTCTACATTGTAAGGTCAGGATCCCTCTTCACGATCAAACTACTGACGCCACTTTTACACTCAATCAATGATGTGTCAGTATTGATACCCCGAAACAGAAAGCATAAATTTTGCTGAAGACGCAACATGAAGGAAGTGACAGACATTCTGAAAGAGCTAGTTTGAACTACATTTACACCGTGTCATCCAACTATTTCAGAAGAATTCGACCATATGAACTAGCTACAAAACAAAGGATAAAATCCAGAAAAGTCTGAGCCCTCACCTTTCATCAGTTAGAACCATCTACCCTAACAAATTATCTGTTCATTTTGACACAAGTTCTCTCATTTCTAAACATCAATCCAAAGCATCCACTATAAACCACTTCTGTCTAACCAACAGGACTTGCGTATAAATGCAAATGGTAAAACAATGTCCACAAAAGACGAAAGTCCCCCTAATATGAGGCAATCAGAAACCTTGCAGGAAACCAATCATTTACAGCATGTCGATCTCCAGATTAGGTTGCTGGGGAACACAGACAATCATTTCCATTCTGGCTAGCAATCATTCTGTAAATATTCACTCCATTCTCTCACTCCCATTGTCCAAGTTGTTCTACTTCAGACACCCCAGCTGGATACTAAATTACATTTCTCTTGGTTTTTGTAATCCAAGTCATTTCAGAGCAGTGTTGAACTAGCATTCATCCACGAGCAACTCCCCACCCCCACCCGAGATCCCCACGGTGCATAATTTGATATTCCAAAACAAGACTGTCATGAAGCAGATGCCAGATGAAATCAATAAGATCCAATTATAATTTCGCAATCCCATTCACCCAAAGCAACAAACTGGACATCACTATTCTTCTAATTAACTCAAATATGCCATCATTCTACTCTGAACATAGTGCTTCTGGCTGACTTGCGCCATTAATTAGACATGGTTAGGAGGGGTTTGCATACAGAGAGGTCAATATTCCTGGTTGATTTTGATAGTTGTCTGACTCAACTTCCATTGACCTCAATTAAAATGTAAAATGAGATATTTTAATCAATACTAACAGACACTTCCTAAATCTGAATGGATAGCTTTAGTGCCCTCCATTACTCCTGTGCAATTCTTCAGTATGGCATATTAGAACACCATAAACAAGCATCTGTTAATTTACTTCCAACAGAACAGTTCAAACCTCTAAAGTTACTCTACATCTAAGAATCAAGGACTGATAAATCTGTCAGAAACACAATGTCCCCTGTATTGTGGCTAAAAAAAATTTCAAAAAGACTGCTGACTAAAATGCCATTGCAAGATGATCATCAAGGGTGGTTAGATCCAATTGAATGAACTCAAAAATGGTTTGATCATGTGACATGCTATCACATTTAGCTTCATTATACGTCCCTCTAGCAGTTAAACTAATTTCGAAGTACAAATATCTTCCGGATTTAAGCAGCAAAACTTGTCCAGAAATATTCTGATGTTTTACAGTAATATTGTACGAAGTGGTGTGTTGTGCATAGGCAAGTTGAAAGGGGGATCAAAAACAAGACATCAATAATTAACAGAGGGGCCACGGTGATTTAACGAGAAGAACATAGGAAACAGAAGCAGGATTGTGCCATCTGATCCACTGAAATCGCTGCATCATTCCACATGATTGCTTTTCTTTTTCACCAAGTACATCTCATACATTCCTTAATCACCAAAAACCCTTCAAATTCTGACATGGATATATATGGTAACTGGATCCACAGCTCTTTAGGGGATGGAGAATGGCAAAGGTTCACAAATCTTTTGAGAAATTCTTCATCCATCATAATGAGCTGACTCCTTTTTGAGTAAAAACTACCTATT